ATGATAATATTTTGTTTCGTGTCAGGGATCCTCATAGAAGTATATTATTACATTGACAGAAGTCTCGTCGCCGTGTGTGAGTGGTACAATGAATTCAATGGTGAGTCCCATCACATAGCAAACTCTACTCTCGGTATCTCTTTGGTCAGCTTCTTTGGTGACGCCGGATGTGCTCTCGAGAAATTGCGTGGCGCTTCCTTCCATTGCCTCTTCACCTGTCTCTCCATTGGTGCTTCTCGCCATAATCGCCTTCCCGAATCGCCGACGAAGTGTCGAACCTGCATCTCAACTACCTCTTTTTGTGCTTCAAGAACCTCCTCTTGCTTAGCGAGCGCCTTCTTGTTCCGATAAGGCTGAACGCAACAGAAGTAGACGACGACGAAAGGCAGAGTGAGGAGGAAGAGACTGAAGAAACCTAGTACTATAACAACGGCTAGAGGAAGAGGTCCAACCTTAATCTCCTTGCTCTCCTTTCGGGTGACAAGATATCGTATAGTATCCTGCCACTTTTGGAGGTCGATGGCGCTTGTAGCAACAAGAGTTGAAGTCGCAATGCGTCGTGCAACGTATCGATGGCTCAAGTACCGTGAGATATGTTTGGGGACTGGTATTGGTGCCATCTGGGTGATTATCTATGTATAGAACTCGTAGATAGTATGTTCAAACTGTCGTTCTGCGTCATAAGTATACGGATGCTGATGGAATGTATGCTCGCGATGTAGGTGAGTTCCACGTCATGCAGTGAGGGCATCTACCTAAAAGGTGGACCGTTGGTAGCACAAAGAAAACAAAGAACACTCGATGATCATTCTGTATTTTTAGCACGTAACCCTATGTCCTTTGTTAAGTCCAGCCTAGTCACCTTTGCAGTCTTAGGTCTTTGTTGTCATGTCATGAGTGCATTGGCTGGATATGTGTGACACGACAAATTCTTTATTGATTGGGGCATGTTAAGATGAGGCAAAAGGTTGGTTGAGGATATCATTTGGACTTTGATACCGAGAGGTAACGAATTCGGAATTATAGAGATCACAGAAGAAATATGAAAGAAATCTATTACGATTACACTGTTCAACATGCCGACCTATCGTTAGCCTGTCGACACTCTATGACCCCGTCTCAGACTGTCCAATTTCCGCTCCCACCAAGTCTTCCCAGACTCCCCAGGACTTGGAACAGGACTACCGGGTGGCGAGACCCGCGCCAATTCTTCGTAGGTCGCGGAAGCCCGAGCCTCGTCCATAGAACTCAAGGGCGAAACTGAGCGTCTAATGGATCGAGGAACCTGTTTAACGACACCGAACTGTCTCTGTAAAGGGATAGGCTGTGGTGTTGGAATCCGCGGTGGCGGTGGTGTATCATGTCGCCCAATGCTGTCAAAGACATTGGCGAACTGCATGTGGAATGGGGTAGATCGCGGAGGCGGGAGTTGTGGCGGCCCAGAACTCTGACGAGTCAGGATTAGGCCATTTGCTATAGCTTCGCGATCATTGCCATCCAGGGTTCTAAAGCTACCATTTCGTCTAATGTTGGAGTCTGGAGCTCCTCCACGGACGCCTTGTTGAGCAAAACCATCATCATTCGGGCCACCTCGAACGGACTCTGCATCAGCATGCAGTATATCGCGTCGACTTCTCCACTTCAAAACTGCTAAAATGATGAACATGATCAAAAAGACTGAACCGCAAACTGAGCCGACAGCAATGGCGACCGTCCTATTCGCGACTCCCGTTGCCTTTTGATCCGAAACGCTGGTAGGCAACGCTGGATCAGGGAGTACATGGTGTGGCGGGCTCAGCGTGGCGCTTGGGGGCGGTGCCTGAAGAAAGGTCGTGAGGAGCGGCCGCTCGGTGAGCGCAGTCTGTGGTGGTTGGAAAAGTTCAAAGGACTCTGTGAACGACCTCGGCCCAGTGTACTGAGGAATTGATGTACTTGAGTGAAGCTCGGGCCCTTCAAATGGGCTAGTGATGAATGAGCGCTCGGTTGTGCATTTAATACGAGGTTGAGGAGTCTGATGGGGTTTTGAAGTCTTAGTTGGCGTAATAACCGCAGTCCTCGAGGAGTCAGATGGCACCAAATGACTTATTGTTGGTTCGGCTGAAGACGCACGCAGAGTTGAATGCGACTTCACACTAGGACGAACAACAGTAGATATTTCCGAAGAAGAAGTTGTCTCCGATACTCCAACTGTTAGTGTTCGAATAGATGGTGACTGCGTTGGAAGGTTCGACGCAGTCGTTCCCGGCCCGCTGGAAGAGTTGCTCGTATGTGGAAATGGCTTTGCGGGGGGCTTTGAATGTGAGTTGGGCGGCCCGCCTGGTACAGCCGTCGGCCAAGCAAAGCCGGGCATACCCCGTGCTAGAACATGTGCCATGATGCTACACTGAGTGAAAAGTTAGGCAAGTAGGAAATATGGGAGGCAGATGCGCATATATTTGGTTTGGTGCATCATTGTGATTTCGTGAAACATTGTTTGTCCACAGTGTTATTGTACTACTGTAAAATGTCAAAGACTCTGCCCGATATTGCAGGGCTATCAAGCTTGTTTGAAGGCAACGTTTGGAAGTATGCTATTGACGTAGATAAGGATGCCAACAAAAGGTTTCAAAGCCCGGGAAGGAGATTTGGCGCAGCAGATTCGATGCAAAGCTTGGAAAATAGCTATACCCGTGCGCAAACAAAGTTAGAGAACAGGTAAAGTATGCGCTCGAAACCGTCGCTTATAAACTGCATTAACTACGAACTGGACTCTATTCGTAATACTGAACATCATAATAGCTTTATAGAGACACAACAACGACTTCTTGGACGAGAGCTACAGCTTTTTTTGTGAGTGGATATTCCCTCGCGATGCGATCAATACACGAGGACCGTACTGCATGCTCGCGTCGGTATGATTAATTGGTTGACGAGGTGGGTGCTTCAGTGAGTGGGCTGGGAACGGTAACGCTGAACTTGCTTTGTCCGACGCTGCCTGAATGGCCTCGTTGTCCTGCAACTCAATCGTATGAGGCTCCTCAGGGTCTTCAGGGTCGTTGATCTTTCTCCGAGGCCGAAAGAAGCAGTAGCCGAGAGAACCTAATAAGCTGGCGCCGATAACGCCGATTAGAATGAACGGTCCCGGACCAGCAACCATTCTCTCTGGTAAATGCTCTTTATTGTGGGAGATACACGAAACAGAGCGTATTGTAGTGCGGAGGCGCGTCTGTTCAGAATTTTGTCACCGGCAGATTGGCTGAGTTGTAGATTTGTAAGACTTAAGTGTCTAAAAGTACTGGATTCTAGATGTCGATTTTATAGAAAGCCGGTGATTGTAGATGTACAATGGAGAGCTGTGCATTGAACAAGGATTTGCAGAAGCGCGCCGTATTCTAAATCGAGTCAATGCAGAGTCAGTGAAGCACATTGTGACCGTGCTATATGACTGCAGATCTGGAAAGAGTGTATTCCAGGTCACCCCCAAGTGCGTGCACGTACAGCGTGGTTTCACATTCATTGACAATAACATCACCGGCTTCAATTCCCCAGTTTTTGTCGGTTGGTGTCAAGGGTCATTCGGACACAAAAGAATTTTGCATCTGATGGTCAGCGGGCAAAGGCTTTCGTAACACCTGAAAGCTGTGAGAGGGGTGCACGACTGACCGGTGTTGTGAAATCATCGATGACACGATTTGAGATGAACAGTTGCTGTCTTCGGTCTTCCAATCATCGCTCGACGGAGTGTTCTGGGCTGTCTTCACTCCAAGCTCAGGATCTTGCTGTTTCTTCTGCGACCACTTGGCGCTAGAGCAACAGCCCCATCCGCATCTCTTCCCAGCCCACCATATGAGGCAAGTGATTAACGAAACGAGAGTAAATCCTCCGAATACAATAGCGAAGATGATCGCTCCTGTCAGTGGACTCCCGGGTGGAGTACCGGAAGCTGCTGGTATCAAGGTTGGTCCCCATGCACCACTCCACGACGGATACGCGGGATAAGGGGGCGTCCAGGTGTTCCATTGCTGACGTACTATCAATAATGCAGAAAGGGCTGGCGTGCTCTGCGTGGTAGAAGTGGGGTTGATCGCCGGGATTGCTGATCTAATTGAGATATTACTGCCTATACCAATGGATGACATGCTGTAAAATCCGGGAAGGCAGATGGGGCAGCCCCGTCGCAGAATGTTGGATCGTTTGCGAAAGATTTAGGAGATTCTCTGTAGAGAGTGTCGTCAAGAAGGAGGCATTTAGTAACATTACGGCGTGTAACGTCTTGAATAATTCACGCTCCACTGTTATCTGTTTACTTCCCGAGACGGGGTCAAGCTTTTCTCGTGTCTTGTACTATAGTCCGCTTTTCGCGCGGCTGCCTCTACGGTCGCTTCGCATGTTATCCTTACTAACAAGGGCTTTAAGAGAGTTAGGCCTACTCGGCATAGTTTCATTCTCATCCATATTATTAATATTCTCTAGTAGGACAGCCGGGAGTGTTAGGTATGCCTTCAGGGACACCTTCGGCCAGTACACGACTGGCTTTGTCCATGTTAGCTTATTGTCGTGAAGGAAATGAGCATTGTGAGGCAGCTCAGTCAGAGACAGCTCATACCAGGGAGGCACTGCTAAGCGCTGAACATTGAGACTGGAGACTGGCTATTTTAAGCTCAAATGAGCAAATCGTGCAAACTGGACAATGCATACTGCATCAATACGTGCGCTAGGCCAGCAAGTCGCGCTGATAGCGCACGTCAGCGCTGATCTCTCTATAAATGTTACGAAACGTAGTTCCTCAATTTAGACGACAATAAAAGAGAGGAAATAGCAAGTTTCGAGAAGAGGATAGTTTTTTGGGTCTATCTTTAGTGATCCTAAGAGAGATTTATGTCCGGTAAATATTCGGTTATATCGATAGCGCAAGGCTAAAAAAAGCTAGCACCTCGCTTATATAAATAAGTCTTTGCGCTAAATTTATGGGCTGTATATAAGTTTTATTTAGGTAAGTTCTTGATATCAAATAGTAGAAAGCTTCCTTGGTGTAGTCGGTTATCACGTCGGTCTCATACAATTTCTGTATGATCTAGCATAGCGTAGAGGCATCCGAAGGTCGCCAGTTCGAATCTGGCAGGGAGCAATATCTTTTTGCCGCACCTTATTATGGTAATATTATGTCCAATTCTTCTTAACAGACACAAGTTCGAAGAGTTGAACTAGAAGCAATCTGATCTTTTTGTTTCGTCGAACGATAGTTGACCAGGACACGTGTGTGATGACGTTACTACGCTACTACAGTTTTCTTGAGAAGTAAAGGCGTGCATGCCCGCAAGCCTTGCAATCTATAATAATCTGACTAAATCAGTCTTCCCTCCTACGCCGCTGCACTCCTTCATATGAGTACTATCATGTACCGCAAGACGGCCGCTATCTCGCTAGCTCCCTCCGACCCTACTTTTTTGGCCGCGTTGCGATACTGTCGGCCTGCAAAGTTACCGCTTTTTGTCCGTACTTTGCTCCTGCAGCTTACGCGCACACGTTTTTCCGCTCCGGCAAGTGGATAGGCGGGAAAATCGCGCTGCCTCTGCCTGAAAAATTTTCGATGGCCTGTCTACTGGTATTAACCTCTCGCGCCATTGTTCCCAGGTCCTATACACATGTAAAACAAAGAGCACACATGTCAGGTGAAGAAATAACAGTCGAAGCGACGCACGAGACCAAGCTATCCCTCTCACGGATGGTATCTATTGGGATGACACTTCGTCCCAGCTAAGCGCAGTGACCATTTTTCACAGAATTGCTTGTGGGTCCAGAAAGCTTGGCCAGGTTGACGACATCTCTCACAATGTCCTGGTGTGGGGCGCAAGATACCGCCAATACGGCACCGTCACATTGAAGCATTCCACACTAGGACGAGATTGTGTACAAATATCACCCAGCGTTGACAAGGACAAAGAGAATAAATGGATTGGAATGATGATAGTATAATTTACTTGATAGATGGGGGTGAGATTGCGAAAAGGTCCGGGGCTTGATTTCGCGGTGCTTGAAACGCCTGAATAAACCGAATATCCCTTGGTGTCGCGCGAGCGCCACAAATACGAAAAAATGTGCTCAATACCTGTGCTCAGCACCAGGACGATAGGTTGGCCGGCCCCTCTCCACATCATGATGATGAGCGGCCGGCATGTTACCATAGTACCCACGCGCAGCATGCCGTCCACATTCTGGAGCCCTCTGTTTAGGCCAGTGGTTACGTGTCTTCCCCGAGTAACGTCGTCGTCGGGCCATGAACTGGCAGAAAGCCCAGAAGAGGAAGAATGCGGCTGCGATACCGATTACGATGCCGACTGCGGCAGCTGCCATGTTGTTACTTTGATGAAAGGTCTGTGAGAATCTACTACTATTGGGGGTTGCTCGAGTGTTGGAAGCTATGTCTTGGACCTTTTATGTACGTCGCAGGGTCGCGGTTTGGGAAGACATTGTTGAGCCGCAGCAAACAATGCTCACAGTATGAAACAAAGGATTCTACCATGACACAATGCACATGCGATCACAAACATCAAGTGTCAGGTTCAATCATGACAGATGAAAATGATTGTCTCGTTCAAAATCCTCGCTAATGTCCCTTAATATCAGACTACCTACTCCCAGTCATCATAGTACCCCTCATTCTCCCACCCCAGCGTGAATGTCTCATCCTCATCCACAGGGTTACTCGTATCATTCACTCCTACCGATCCCATCACTGCCTGTCCATTGCCCTGCCATTGAGGCCCCTCAGCACTGATATCGATCGTCGCATTGTTGTAACACTTGTTGAATCTCACTTTGAACTTGTCATGTAGGTTGTTGTAATACTCATCATATGTCGCGTCCATCGCATCGCGTAAGTTCTTCACTGTGCCATCTTGATGCAGCTCTTTCCAGGGTTGCGTGCAGGTGTTGCCTTTGCATGACTTGAGGACCAGGAGGAGAGCATCGATGCGTGGAAGCAGGCTCTTGATATCGAAGCCGGACAACTTTGTGTTACCGGAATTGTAGGCGTTCTTGTGGTTAGCTTCGTGGGGGGCGGTCGGATGCAAGTTGCGCATTTGTCCTGAGTCGGTGACCATGTCGTAAAGCTCGTGCGAGTTGTTGACGCATTGAACGGCATACATGAGATCGTAGCCTTTGCCAGCCAGACGAAGAGATTTGTACGAGTTTACGCGAGTCCCGTTTAGACCGTTGACTACGCCACTGTTAGTCTTCAATGTCAACGTTGACTAGCAACTACCTAGGTACTCACACTTGTACGTTGCACCTTCCCAAAACTCAACGTTCGAATACTCGTCTCCGGCAGAACCTTCTCGTTGACTGATATCTGCTTCTGTGAGTGGGATTGGACGCCCATCAAAGTCGTCCCTCTGCGCTGCACCAGCCATCTTCAAGATTGTTGGCGAAAGATCAACGTGCGCAGTCACTATATTTGTCTCCCGGTTCGCCGGCACACCCGGTCCACGAATAATCAACGGAACGTTAATATCTTCCTCGAAAGCGTACTTCTTGCCCGCGCCAAGACGATGATGACCGAGGTGGAAACCATTGTCACTACTGTAGATAATGTAAGTGTTATTGAGTTGGCCTGATTTCTCGAGAATATCGACTACTCGTGCGACTATATCATCGACGGAGAGAAGGGCTTCAGTGCGGGCTTGGTAGTGGTTCTTGAGTTTGGCTTCATGGTCCTTGTCTAGTTTCTCCAGCTGCCATACGACGTTGACGCCGGATCTCTGTCGAGGTGTTAGCTCGCCCTTGTCGATGAATGCATATGGTAACGGCGTTGTTGACTCACATTTGCTGGGTTGTAGTTGTCTGCAGGCGGCACTTTAGCATCTGGTTTTGTCCCCTTGTATTTCTTCGACGGTACGGGAAGACCCGCCGGATCCGGATTGTTCCCAACCTGGACGTGCGGTGTAATTGGAGCAACACCCACGAAGAAAGGCTTATCGCTCTTAACAGCTTCTTGCAAATAGTTGTAGGCGTGTCCCGCTATCATGTCTGTCGAGTAATTGCCAGGGAAATCCTTAACTTTGCTGGGATTGTTCCAGTTGCCCTTGATGTTCTGGAAGGGTGGATCATAGTATTGATAAGTTTTACCGCCAACCAGGATGTCCTATCGTCGCGTCAGATGGTATGTTGCGATGAGAGGGAGATGGAAAATTTACGGCTTCCGTCCACCCACGCGCGGTCTCTTTCTCTACCAGATCTGTCTCCATCCCGTTGTACAGCTTACCCGTGTAGTACGTCTGATATCCATCATCACCTAGCCAGATGGGAAGATACCTGTTGTTCAAACCTTCCTCTTTGATCTTTTGCCATCCACCAAAGGGACCGTTGTGCACGGATGCGACCTTGTGGTTATGAGCGTGCAGTCCCGTCCAGATACTGACTCGAGCCGGACAGCACAAAGCAGTTGGTGCATAGTGCTTCATATACCGAGTGCCTTCCTTGACTAAAAGGTTCTGGACATTTGGCATGTGGTCGATGGAGTTCATGCGCTGATCTTGGTCGTCGGTGAGGATGAAGACAACGTTTGGTTTCTTTGCGGCATCTTGGGCGAAGGCGGCAGAGGATAATATTCCCAAGTATACAAGAAGCTGGTAAAAGATCATTGTGCTCGCTTTAGTGTATAAGTAGTTTGCGGATAGCGTTGCGAATTTCGATTGGCCTTTATATGATGAGGGGGTTCATGTGTACCGTTGTACCTGGTCGGCCTTACCGAGCGCTGCGAGTGGCATTGATATCGTGTTTCTCGGGATTTTGGAACTCTTGTTCTTCAAAATAGATGTTTAGGCCTAACACTCTCATGCTCAAGGGCAATCAAAGGCGTTTATGCGCATTACTGAGAAGTCGTTGCCAGCAATGGAGATCATGACGTTCTTCTTCAGCCTCATGTCGCGGAGCTCGAAGCAAGGCGGGCGGGCATATACAACTCGTAGGAGGCCTGATGCGAAGTCTGAATGCAAGGCATCGTATATGTGGTCATTACAAGCTTTGAGGAAAGGATTACCGTCCAAAAAAGACCCGGGGCGGTTCCCACATTCGGTCATCCTGCAGGTACAGCGACGGGACGCCTGATCTACCACGTTATATTTAGAACACGGCAGTCGCCATCCATTTTGCTTGGATATCTGCTCCTTAACCTGAGACCTTGTGTCTTAAAGTACTCTTTTGTGAGTGTGTCTTTTACAAGTTTGCCAAAGCCACTCAGATTAAGTTGTAGCTGTTAAGAGGCTTCTCTAGCTCTTACTATAGCGCACACTCATAGGTCAAGCATAGTACATCTAACAATAGTCGATAATAAAATAGCGTCCAAGTACTTTGGGGCCGCTGAGCGCACGGGTCCCCTGCCCATAGAATTTCATTCACCGTGTGAATCAGCCATACACAGGTCTCCGTCGCCGTGGATATATCGTTGATGACCCCGAGTGGCGCGGGCTAGCGCGGGGTTCCCAAGATCCTTGACTAGGTACTGACCCCGCCAGCGTCATCGTTACTGGATCGCACTACCACCTTGTTACATCAACCTTACTTTCTACGGCATCGCAGGCGTGGTGAGGTCTCACAGTCTGTTACATATCTCGTGTTCTGCTTTAAACAATCCCAACAACAGCGATGCAGAACAACAAGGGTGACGTGCTACAATCAATTACTTCAAATGGACCGTCTTCTTCGCTCAAACCCCTACTTGATGCACCACAGAGCTACTTCACCTATACCTCTTTGGACGACCGAGTAGGGTCAATTCGATTGGTAGATGTTCAACCGGCGCGCTATCGGGCAGAGCAGGTTCAGTGTGTCATCCGTCACACTACCAATAATGTGGACTATAGGTGCATTTCCTACGTATGGGGCAGTGCAGAACCAAGGCGATGCATCAAGATGAATGGGAAAAACTTTTGGGTTCGATAGAACCTACGGGACTTTCTGCATTAAGTAAGAAATAATACGCGACTACGATCACGGTCGTTCTGGATCAATGCGATTTGCATAGACCAGATGAACGACATAGAACGGGCGCAGCAAGTGCAGCAAATGGGACTCATCTTCTCAAACCCTATGTTGGTTATCTACTGGCGCAGGGCATGGATCACGCAG